TGGTGAGCCCCACCATGCCTGGTTCAATGTCACTTTCGATATTACGATTTCCATATGTTTATCCCAAATGACACTTGATTCTTTGCAAAGACTTATGAGTTCAAGAGACCACAGAAGATTCTAAACTGGATTTATCTGAGTAGAGGATCTTTCAAGGTCATGGTGTTCAGGTTTTTCAGAACTCTGCCTTTATGATCTTATAACTTGATGATCAAAGTAAAAGCCAGGATGATGCTCAGATAGAAGAGAAATATAAACCACCCACTTAGTTCAACTGAAATTAAATTTGAGTTGAATGGTGTTCAATTCAAACCATGTTTTTCTGGTTCTCTGTTTAAGAAAACATCTTGTCACTATTGTTATTATTCTCATTGAGGGGCTAGAAGTGCCTAGAGGAGGTACCACTGAGGAAGTCCGGGCCAGGTCAGAAAGGAGTCTCCAACACATGCAGCATAGCACAGGTAGGTTAGAGAAACAGTCGTTATCAGCAAAGGCAAAGAATAGAGCTAAAATAGTTTCAGGCATCTGTCCAAGGGCGAGCCAAGTAGAGAGAAGAAAGAGCCAGGCTGAAAATGAAGAAATAGGCCATTCAACCAAATCAGGCAGCTGATGCCTTTTAAGGAATATACATACATGGGAACTGAGGTGCTGAAGCTTTTCTCAGGTTGCCTAGTGAATACAGAAGCAAGTGGTGTGGCAGCTGCCTGTCTACTCTGAACTGGACAATCTCTCCAATCTTGTTTCCTTTTCCTTGCACCCATCTCAAAATCTCACCCATTGAAAATGACAGTGGGAGACTGTAATCCCAGTGGCTCCAGAAGCTGAAGCAGGAGGATTGCGAGTTCAAAACCAGCCTCAGCAAAAGCAAGGCCCTAAGCAGTTCAGTGAGACCCTGTCTCTAAATAAAATTCAAAACAGAGCTGGGGATGTGGCTCAGTGGTCAAGTGCCCCTGGTTCAATCCCTGATACCAAAAAAAAAAGAAAGAAAGAAAGAAAAAAAATTGACCATGGGTACTGAACAGGTGAGGGATGTAACCCTTAAAGGTCTAATTCTACCACACTAATTCTGTGCTTTTATTTCCCCATAGCTGAAGAATCATGGTCTCCCACACACCACATTCCAGAGCATCCTATGATCACATAACAACAGAAACTTCCAGTGACAGGTCAAGTGTAGTGTACCCAGGGAATAGGTTGTGGGAAAACCATTGTTCTCCCTCTGCCCCTTGGTATGGAAACATCACAACAGGCAGTGCTGCCCACAACTCCAGCAAAATCTCATCCGTGTGCAGGGTCAGTGTTGTTTGAACCTAGGAAGGGGTAGACAGTCTGAGAAAAATGGAGAGCTGAGTTCCATCAATCCGGATCATCTTCTTTTGTAGCATCCCCAGTGAGATGACGGCTGGAGAGGTAAGGGTGTGGCTCTCCCAAGGACAGGCTTTTGGCCAACATCCATCGGTGACAATGCCGAGTTGTAGATTTGTTTGGTTTTCAGCGTTTCTTTTTAAAAGCTGAGTCAGATTCAGAATCCAATCCTAATTTTGAGATGCCACAGGTGATCCTCCGATGACTTCAGGTAGAACTAAAATTTACCCACATAAACTTCTTTTCTTCAATTTTAAAACACCTCTAGGCTACAGGAGAGTTTAAGAAAATCAGACATCATGTTTGGCACAGGAACAGACCCCAAACATGTCCAGACGCGTCAGTTCCCTCCAGATTTCTCTTCCTTTGCTTGTGGATTCCCAAAAAAATTAAGCATTGCTGTTCTCAGGCTTCCAAAGTCAGAACAGACCCTTTTTAAAGCAAGAGCTGGGACCTCAGACCATCTACAGAAAAAAATAAAGGTAAACTGCAAACAAGAAAAGAAAGAACTGATAAGTACTGTGTGACTTTGAGCAAGAGCCTTTCCTCCAGTGAACCTCGTGGGGTCCTAACTTAAACAGAGGAGACCTGGATCTCCAATTCAAAAATTATATGACAATTATTTACATGCCAAACCCCGCCCAAAACTTCCTGGAAATTTTACTATTTATGAGTTTGGCTCCTCCTCCCCTTTCAATCCTTTGATTAAATAGCTTCCCTCCTGAAGGGTTTTGAAGTGGGAGCAGCACCTTCGGACTCCTGCCAGAAGCAAACTCTGTCTGACATGAGCGTTGCCCCTGTCCACATGGCCAGGGTGGCGAGCCTCAGCCTTGGCTCTCTGCTTCTGCTTTCTCTCCTGCTGGACCGAGGTGTGCTAGCCAAGGAGTTGAAGTTTGTGACATTGGTAAGTACGCTTTTGTCATTGCTTTCTCTTTGAGCCCGTGTTACCAGCAGGGTCTGGGGGGAGTCAAGGATCAAGTTTCACTTTTCTGTTGTCTCTGGGAGACCAGGGTCTGTTTAAACTCAGCAAATCATCGAGTTTTGCAAGTTCCTCTTAATGAAGACATAACTAAGAAGACGTGCCCTAACAACAACAAAAAGGTGTGCTGACTTTTTTTTTTCTTTCCGTGTGCCTTTATTGGTGTTATTTATTGACTCACTCACTTTAGAACTGCCCTGATTTCGGATTGCCTTTGACAGCCCTGAGAAGCAGAAGTGGCAGTTGGCACAGTTTATATAACAGCAGCTAACCTAGCTTTGTTCAATGTGATGATTATTTGTTGGCAAACAGAAAGAAAAAAAAACTGTCATTATCTGAACTTAGCAGCCCCTTCCCTTTATGTTATCACGTTTAGAAATGGACTTTGTTTGGAATGACTTCCTGATACATAGATTGAGTTGGTCCTTTAAATGGTGCTTTTCCCTAGCCGTGGCCAGTGTGCTGTATTAGCCAAAGCGGGAGAGTGGGTGGCTGAAGCAAAGTGTCAGCAAAAGAGAGCAGACTACAGGCATTGTTTAGAAAGTGTATGGAAAGAGGGTTTGCAGAGGAAAGGGGATTCACCTCGGTATATAGAAGTCTTGGATTTTCTGTTTCTTTCCCCTACTTGGGGTTTTACTCTGTCTCTAGGCCTGTCTTGCTCTTTCTCACCCCTGCTTTTTTTTTTTTTTAATATATAATGAGTGTGGGATGATGAATAAGCATTTTTTTGTAACAATGCTTCAAAATCATTTTTTTTAACAATTTAGAAGAAAGCCACCTTTCAAAACTTAAAACTTAAATTTGAAGTTCCCATTCTCTCAGGATGGTGTATTCAGAACTTTCTGCTTTGCTTTCTATAGAAAATCTGAATATCACATGGTTATGTAAATCATGATTCTTAGTCCAGTAAATCTTTACTGAATCACCAACATAAAAGTGATAGAAAAACCAGAGAGACCAATTGCCGGTTTGTGTACAAACAATGGCCAGCTGTCAGACTTCAGCGCTGAAAACCAGCCCATCAGGCACCTTCTGTAAGGAAACCCTTTCGAGCTAGACTTTTATTTATATTCCGGGTTTCCTTGCCAACATGTGCATTAGAAAAGTATAGGGACTCTGGAAAATGTACTACAATCTGTCATTTCTGCCGCTCTATCAACCTGGGACAAGCTGGTTGAACGGCAATCTTTGTTGAGATATTACAGTGAACCCTTCGTGGTAGATTCTCTCCTCCAGGTTTTACCAACAGCTCAGGATAACTTCTCTCCATTTCCCCTCCACTCTTGGTTAAAGTGCATTCAGGAACTACAAGTTAATTCTTTTCTAAGAAAAAAAAA